GTTAAAGGACTTCAGCCTCCTCAGGAAGAATAGTCGGCTTTGGCCCTTTTTGTAGACCGCCTCGGTGTTTCTAATGCAGTAATGCAGCAGACCAAGCTGTTTGAAAGAAGTGATTGACATTTGTTGAAACGTTTTTATTGTCATTTTGAACAAAATGTGACAACAAACTAAAAACACCTGATTTCATTATTTTCTTTCACATAAATGTAAGTATTTTTCTTTACACAAAAACTATATGTATGCATCTTTAAGAAAACAACAGTTTGGTTGTAGGAGTAGATTAGATTGTAACTGGTTTATGTTTTAACCATTTGGAGAAAAACATCAATAGCTGGAGACAAGGTTACTTTATTTAACTTTTGAGCACCTATTGTCAGTAAACATAATCTCGCAAATATTTAGAGTAATTCAGTTGTCAGAAGGTTAGACAACTAAAAGTGAAAAAAATATGTTTTTCCACTGATTATCATAATTATACATTGAAATTTATACTAGCCCTCTGTCATTATGAACCTATATGGACTACAGTTTGGTTGATTTAACTTGTGAGGCTTCCTCCAAGTCATGTTGATGATTTAGCTGCATCTTTTTCCTGTGAAACAAAACAAAACAGAAAATATGTTCATGTTAGAGCAGTGGAAAATCAGTAGTTCCAAACAATAAGGAAGAGATCATCAGCAAAGAATGAAACTTAAGGATTGTAAAAAAAAAAATGCCCAACAATCTGCAGGTGTTCAAAAGTGGGACTTCTGTACTTGTGGTGGAAACATGGTAAAATTAACTAAAATTTGTATAAAACACTAAGAAAAGTATGGAGAACACTTCATACTCACCAGAATGTGTTCATTTAGTCAAAGCGGCTAGTTCTTTTTTGGCCAGGACATTTCATACTTCACAAGAACCAGAATGTCCCAATTGAGGGACAATAAAGGGATTTTCTAATCTAACCAAAGTACAGAGCTCTTGGGAAGGCTAAATAATTAACTTCCTTTTCTGCATGAGATTATAGTGGTCAAAAAATTAATTAAAAAAAGATAAACTGGATAGAAAATCTGCCTATATAATGCATCGAAATCAAGCTGCAAGAACTCACTTCTCTCTATGAGATATAGAACAAGTTTGGCTTTGGAAAGTAATTAAGAACCATGAAAACTCAGGAATTTTTTTTAAAGATTGGGACAAAAAAAAGAAGTATTTTGTTAAAGAAGGTGTCTCTAAAATCCAGCTTTCTCACCATTTGCCTTCAGCTTCTTGGGTGGAATCAGGAAGCTCTGTTCTTCTGGTCTCAGGAAGCAGGAAGCAGAGGGCTCCACTGAGGATGGGAAGGCTGCTGTAGATGACGATAGGGATGGACCAGTGGTACACGGACAACATGTTGAGAGGTGGGGAAAGTAATCCCCCAACTCGACTGGCAATGGAGCCCAAACCAGAGGCTGTTTGTCTAAAACAACAATGTACAGATAAGCTCCTCATCAGTGTTTTTACTAGATTGATTTACTGCTCATTCCTTTCAATAAAATTTTTTGAAAAGATTGAAGGGTAGTATCACCATTAAAGAGCATCAGCTTACCTAAAAGATGTTGGAAACAGCTCTTGAACATACAGATTGCATATAGATCCTGCCCAGTTGGTCAAAATCCGTCCTCCAATTGCTAATGCAGTGACAGCAATGGCACTACCTGGAAAAGAACAAGTAAACACTTAGAAAGGATCTCACAAGACTTACAGTAGGTTATGAAGTCTATTAGGGCGTTTTCATGCCATAAATGCATCACAAATATTTATTTATTATTATATATATATATTATTTATATTTTCATCCTTTTCAAAAGTATTTTCACTACCAGTGGTACTTATTGTGATATGAAGGTCTTAAATGAAGGTCTTTTGAAATTGATGGAAAGTATTTTATTTTGTGATCATCCAACAATAAGCCCTATGTAATTACAGCAGTTTTATTATGTGTTGGAACATAATAACTTCTGTATGACCCGTCATACATATGAACACAAGTTAAAGGGTATGTCTTATTCTAGTACAATGGTGTTGTACAATAGGTACATATTTATGGATCAATATAGAAAGAGCTTGCTTTAAAACTGCTCTCTTAAAGCATACCTACAGTATAACCACCATGTGCATATTCATTAAGGTTGGAAGAACTATTTTTGGTATGCTTTATATATTATATCTTTTCTATGGTTTTGCTAAGAGTTGTATCAGTACATCAAAGGTTTGTAAAAACGAGGAAGTAAATGAATGCTTGTGTCCTTTTGGCTCCCATATTCGAAGGTTACATCAGCAAGCGATTATGGTTTCCTGACAAATTTTGTAAAGTTTTAACCATGGATGCCCTTTCTCACGCAAAACAGCTAAGACTTAAACTACTTCACCATGGGGACAGTTCAATAAATACAATAAATAAAGCTCCAAATTTAATTCACATTTTGGTTAAGGAATTGCAATTATTCAATATTAAATACAGGTTAAGAATAAATAAGAGTCTTTACTTTGAGGAACGGCGAGGATCAATAGGCACAGAAATCCTCCGATCAGAAGTGTTGACATGACTGACACCTTCCTTCCCACTGCCTCCAGAAGCCAAATGCAGATGATGTGAGCAGGTACTTCAGAGAGACCAAATAAGGCTTGGGTCAAGAAAATATCCAGCCCAAAGTTCCCCACATTCAAAGAAAGGCAGAAGTAGGTAACATTTAGCGAAAACCTGCAATAAAAAAAAGAAAAGAGTCAAACTTCAAGCTGTCATATGTCTGTTTTTTTCAGATTTCAATTTAAATGTAACTTACCATGCCATGATTATAGTAAGAAAATACTTCCTAAGAACAGGGGATTGGAAAAGACAAAGTATGCCTCTCTTTTGCTCAGGCTCTTTGATAACAATCTGCAATGCACAGGGGTGAACACAAAATCATGCTAACAGTAGCTCTAATTATAGCTCACCTGTCTATTTTTCATCTGCAATCCTAATTCACTGAGTTTTAATAAAAGAAGATACTCTTGTAAGTCCAGTATACATAGAACCCCAGCATGCTGAATACAGTATGCTGCTTAAACAGTATCCATTTCAAACAATATTATATCCCACAGTTGATCAGGTTATAACAAAAGAGTATTTCACCCAGACTTTGTCTGATTTGCCAACATAGAGCAGTGCATATTTGTGAAGTAGATGGAAAATAATGCATGATTTCAAATTTCTCTACAAATGAAAGTCTTAAAAGTATTAGTCAGGGGGGTGAGCTTTAAATTCATGTTTCTAATTATTTCAGCATTGGTTTGATTGATTCAAACATGATTTAATATACATGTGAGAGATTAAATACTAGAGTGTGCCTTTCCTCGGCCTAATAGGAGTAATAGTAGAGAAATTTTGTACTCTAAGCTGGAGTGTTATGCAGGGAGTTAAAGTGGGGATGACAGAGAGCAGCTTGTCTAACTCTAGACAAGGGTTAAATATATAGATAAAATACCCTTTAAAGTGCTTAAGACTCCCTCATGGCGTAAAAGGAAGACAGCTGTTGGGAAGTATTTCATCTGGATCTGTCAGTTCCTGTTTGGATCAGAACCCCTGGTTGGGCTATGGACTCCTGGATCTCAAAATTCCTGTTCTGAACTGTTTCCCTGACCTAGATCGGTCTTCTGCCTGCTCACTGGGGCTGCTACATCGGGGACACTCTGGATGGCTCAGCGCTGCATCTTGTTGGCAGTCCATCGACTGATCCTGCCTTATCTGAGAGTTGACTGTATGGTCTGGTGAACTGCAAAGTGCCTTGAGATGACATATGTTGTGAATTGGCACTATATCAAAAACTGAATTAAATTGAATTGAGAGGATGGACTGAACGGTGAACCAGGTAAGTGACTCACATGGATAATCATATTCTGTCAGATTATCATGGTCACTTACCATGTTGTGGTAAGGTTGAGGTGTTTCTCCCTCAACCAGAGTGCCAGTGATGGGCAATGCTTCGCCCTCCCCTGCAGTAGTTGCAGGTCCGCAGATCCACAGCAGCCGTGTTCTGTTTCTGTTCTGTTTTTATTTCCTTTTTTGTCATTAAACATTTTGAAACTTCCTACTGTCTGACCCTCCTGAATACTGGCTCCATCTGTCCTGTTTTATGACAATGTATTTCCTCATATTTATTTAGGAAATGATTCATATCTGTCTTAAAATCAAACAAGAACTGCGGAATTATAAAGTGAACACTGTACAGCTCATAGAAGAGGATCTTTCCCCTGAGAAGGGAACCAGAACCACCAGATAGCTAGGAAGAGGGGAGCACCAGCAGAGGTTCCAGTCTTTGTCTGGGAAGGCAGTACAACTTGGGGGCAGATACTTGGGTTCAGCAAAATGCACAACTGCTGTTAGACCTTAAAATAGCTTTGATATTTCTATTCTTCATTTCACACAAAAAAACTGAACTGCAGGTATTTTAAATATCTTAAGTGCTGGTGTCAGATATTACTATTACTGTGGGATAATGTGCAAACTCAGTGTAGACAGACCTCAGACCAGGATTCAGACCCAGGATAAATGGTCAGTCTACAATTTAAAAAAGAGAGCAGCATTTTTGCAAACCTGCCATGTCATGGCAGGACCAGTTAAATTAGGGGTTGGCCCCCCCCTCTTTTTTTGTTTGTTTATTTTAATATGGTGAACAGGAGGTCAAACAATCATTCATTATATTTTCCAATGCTGTAAACATTTGTATAATAAATAAATTAAAACCATAAAGGTAAAAATGTCTTGCAATGAAAATTTGTGTAGAGATCAGTGGTCATAGCCTGCAACACACGTTTTTAGTGCGGCGCTATGCCAGGCAAACAAAGCGGCGGATGCAACTTGGGCCATGGATCCCAAAGGCAAAAAAGGAAGATAGCTGATGAGAACAGAGGATTCAAAGAAGTATGGACCGAATCATTTGCTTTCATTACCAATGCGGAAGGATTGCCTGGTTGTCAAAAAAAAAAAATGCTTGAAAAGGCATTTCCAGGTAAGGCATGCTAAATATACAGCCACCCACCAAGTTGGGACTGAGAGAAAAAGTGCGATTGGAGAACCTCTGGAGAAATTTAGAGGAGATAAAGCATAGATTCAAGGGCAGATTAGACTTCTGCAACCGCACACATTAAATGTTGCTTGTGTCTGTTCGCAAATCAGTTTTGCTGGTATGCTTCTGCACCATCGGTCTGGAATTTCTAGGGATGCAAAGCAGTTTCCCGGCAAAGTCAAGGGGGAGCATATTCGAGAAATCACGAGAACTTCGATGGATTATACTTCCGAACCTCCTCGATTAACCTTTCGTTGTAGTTGTCCGTTGTGGTTGTTCCTTGGTTTTTAAAAATGGCACGCCCCCGCACCGAATCGAGAAGGACGACCACACAGCCAGCTGGAAAGGCATACCAAGGACCAATCAGAGATGCTTTTTGTTTTCGCACTCTGCTTGAGGTCTGCACGGGTTTGCAACCATCCGACACGTAGTCCAAATTTTTTTGAGGTGTGCAACGACGGTTGCAGAGGCTATGCATCAGAAGCATAAATTGGCCTTAAAGAAGTAGATTGCATCTCCAAACTCCACTACCTACTACTATCCATCAGGTAGCGCTCTTATGCAGGTATGTGAATTTTCTTCAATATTTTCCCCCCCAAATCCTAAAAATAAAATTAACACCAAGGAACGCTGGTGACAGAGGATGTGTGATTTTGGGGTTAGTGGGCACTGCTTGGATGGATGTCAGTTGCTGCTTGGTTCCTCATTATTCAATCAACTCCTTCCAACAGAAACATGTCCACTATAGTTAGATTTCTTTATCCTGTTTCTATAATTTCATCAATGCAACAAAACCTAAAACGCTCGGTGAATTCCACACAGTGAGACCTTTCACTGCCAATCTCTCACCACGTACTTTCACTGCCAATCTCTCACCACGTACCACTATGTGACATTTTCTCCAGGAGAAACATTTTATCAAGAATGCTTATTATGTATTTAAGCCCACGTAGTCCTTTTCTATAGTGGGCTAATACACTTAGAGCCTGTGTTGCCATTTGAGGCTTATATAAAACTTTTACATTTTTGTGGCTCCAGACAGATTTTTTCCTTTTTTGGTCCAGTTTGGGTTGCCGACCCCTGACTTAAATTAACAACTTTTAGTTCTGCAGAAAAACTTTGCTTTAAAGCTGATAGGAAGACAGGTGGAGCTAAGTACGGGGCAAATTCCATCCACTTCACAATTTTATGTTGGTCTGTCACATAAAAATCCACATAAAACACATTCAATTTTGTGGTTATAATGTAAAGAAATGTGGAGAACTTCAAGTATTTTTTGTCTGAAGGCAGATTTTCTCATTACACTAACAAAAATTTGCTTTCCTATTTTATTAATTTACTTTTTTTTTAATAGAGATGACAAAAAGTGAACAGCAGTACCTTCTCCAGCAATGAGTCTGAAACTTTGCGTTTGTTAATAGCCGCCACCTTGACAATCAGCTCTTTGGCCTCATCTGTCCGTCCTTGGTCCAACAACCATCTTGCCGACTCTGGAATAAACCTGTCAAAAATAAGCCAGACATTTTTCATCAGCCTCTTATATTGATATCTGACAGCAACATATATAAATATAACAGCAGTGGCCTTAAAGTGAAGGTTCAGCTCTACACATCCTCTACACATAGAGTAATCTAGCATACACAATTTGTTCTCCATGGAAATATTCTTATGGGGCTTTTAACTCTCATCATATTGCTCAAGTAATGGTCAAAACTCAATGTTTATTTTACTCTTTTAGATTAAGACCTATGTGAAATTCAGTTTTAGTAATAGCAACAACCTTTGAAAAGAAAAGAGCCGGTGTGATAACAGATTCATTAACATAAAAGCTAGAGATGCATCAATCAAATGGTCATGATGGGTCTTATCTGTTAGCGTCACATTGAATGCTGGAAAAGTTGAATTTATTTTTTCATATGCATTGAATACATCATAACAAAGAATTTCCACTATTTTGTGTCCTTAAACACATCCTCCAACAGCATTGATGCACGTTTTTCTATTTAGTAAAAGTGAAATTAAGTTTAAGCACATATGTTAACAATAATTTTGATAATCCTGTAATTCAGTTGTTTGCTGTTGGTTTGAACATTATTTCTACAATCAGAGAAAATGCAGCACAGGCTGTCTGTGAATCTGAATTGTTCAAAATCCAGTTAACAGGTCAGACTGTAAAAACCTGATCAATGCAACTCTAGAAAAACAGATCAACAAGAAGCAACAGGATAGGAAGAGATTTTCTTTTTTCCCACAGACCATATGTAAATGGCAACCAAGACAAATGGAGCAGCTGTGACAAGCTGAGCCAGCCTCCAGTCTCTGATGAAGTAGATCATGCCACCGAGGATGGCCTGTCCAATGGCACCAAAAAGTTGAGTTATGCATGCTCCCCATGATCGTTTGGACACCCCGATCCATTCAGTGCCTAACAGTAACCATAGAAGCACTTTGATTACCTTGAAATATCTAGAAATATCTATATAGTTAAATATGAAAGCACATGCAGGTAAAAAGTTGTTGAAATATATTAATACAATTTTTTTCTATTGTGGAGATTACAAGATATCAGAGACAAACTATCAACAATAACACTTTTTCCTTGTGATGATTGCAGTTTCTAGATTGCAATTAGTAAATGCACCCCCAGCCCCTTTTAATAAGCAAAATCATCTGTACTACATTTAATGACTATAACAGTCCAGCTACTGTGAGCATAGGGGGTCTATGTGGATGATGTTTAAAGATCAGCAGACACCAAGTATTCCAATAGGTACGTGAAAATATTTTATTTCTCAGGCTATAAAATTAAATAGGGCTGGGATCTGTTCTACTTTGTGAGAACCCAACAAAAAAAATAAAACAAGCTTTTTTCCCACCAAATAGTAAGTTTGTTTTATATGTTTGAGTTCAACTTCAGCTTTAAGATGCATCCAAACCAAGCAGAGGAACAGACTGGATGTAGAGAACAGCCTGGGATCAGCTGTTTTTCCACATCTGAGCTCTCGGAGTGAATCAAAGCAAGCTCAGGTGTCATTAATGTTGAAAAGAAAGTAAAACAAATGGATTGAGTCTGACTTTATTTTTTGTTCAGCATTTTTCCCCAATTCCTCGTTTAAATATGATTAGGGCACCAACTAACAATCATTTTGCAAATCGATTAATCTGTTGATTATTTTTTCATTAATAATGGGATAGCAAGCGTGTCGAGTTCTTTATATTCACAGTCAAAAGTTTTTTGTTTTTTTTTATCCTTAATGTAAATTGTTTATATATATTTTTTTACAGTTCTGTTATAATTACTGCTTTAAGTGGGTCGCTCTGTCAGCTAAAACCATGTTTTACAGTCTTTATACTCGCATTAACAATTAATCGATGACTAATTTAATTGAGTATTATTTCATTGAATCGATTAATCACAATTAATCTAATTAATAGTTGAATCCCTATAGGGAGGAAACTCAGTGGCACTCCAGTTTTTGGGGAAAAAATATACTTTTTTTTTTAATATTTGGCTCTCCAGGTAAAGAGACTGATCCCAACCAGGTTATTTAATATTTACAGGACTGATAAGTCCAAAAAACTTTTTTTAGGTATTTAAATGAATTTTTGTCTGCGATATCTGTTGGTTATGAATGTTTATTTATTGTGTGATGTTTTGAACTTCGAGCTGTCAGTCTTGTAGAAAGAAGAGCTATAAAACTGTGATACTTTAAGAAATGTTGGTTTAACCCAACATGTTTGATCATCACTGAGGGTATAAACATTTCCTAGCTCTCTGTAACTGATTTGCCCTTTCTGACCACTTTTCTGTTACTTTTGAAAGCATAATTTCCAATGACTCAGTTAACTCAAGAGACAGAATAAGAACATGCATTTTCAAGGATCGTGCTCCTTAAACCTTTAACCAGTGCTGGTATTATTGAACCCAGTTCTGTGATTGTTCCACAGTCTTTATTTGCAACTGGAAAACTGTGTTGCCGTTTTTGGCACAGCACTCCCCGGGTTAAAATCCTACTTAAAGGACAGGGACTTTTTAGCTTCAGTACATCAGAGACCACAGAAGAACATGTTTTCCCCAAAGGTTCATTCCCAGACCCCTCCTATTTAATATCTGCATGTTTCTTTAACTCAAACAACAACATAAGCTTCCATAATCATGCAAATGACACAGCTATATAAAGTAGTCTAGTTGTAAAAAGAAAAAAAAAAAGAAGGGGGATGGTGGACTATTATTATTATTTATTTATTTTTTCAGAAGCATGCATAACCTAATTAATATAGTCTATTAACTTAAAGCAATATGCAAGGTATGGTTGTTACATGTCAGGTACGCCAGTCATTGACCTTACAGTAGAACTGCAGCCAGTCCCTGGACTGGCATGCTTATCACAGCCCCTACATAGTTAGGGACCAATAGTCATGGCAGGCCACTTCTTTAATTTTTTTTATTTTGCTCTGGCTACTCGTAAGCCCACAGCCCACCAAATGTTGAAAGGGCAATATTAATGCCATTGCTGTTGATATATAGTAGAAACTTTTCACATTTAGTAATAAAATGTCACATAGGATAGTATGGGGTCATGGTCATTTAAGAAGGGGGAGGATTTTTTTTTTTTTTTTTTAAGAAGGGAGATGCCATCCCCTCTCATCTCGAGTAGTGGCTATATATTACGATGTCAACGGATGATTATGAACTCATTCAAACACAAGGTAAGTGCATAGATGAATTTAGTTCATGGATGTGCCTTAATGTTCTTCAGCTAAAAACAAAACTGAAGTTATTCCTGCTAGAAACCACCAATCAGTCTCTACATCTAAATGTAGTGATGGACTCAGACCAAAACCTTCAGAGGCTCATAAAGACAGGAATAAAACCAGCCTTCTAACACCTAAAGGACACGTCTGGGATTAAAGGACTAATTTTTCAGCAGGATCTTGGAGAAAAACTGATTGACACATTATTCTTAAGGAACTGATTTCTGCAATGGCTTCTTCACAGTTCTGCCTTAAAAGCTGATCAAATAGCTGCAGTTGATCCACAATGCTGCTGCCTGGGTCTCCACTAAATATGATTACATTACCACAGTTCTAAGGTTGTTATATTTGCTTCACCTCTTTCAGAGAATAGACTTCTCTTGGTCTATAACTTAATGGCTTAAAACCAAAATACATTACAGACTTCTTGTAGCAAGCGCTCAGACCTCTCGGGTCTGTTTAAGTTTGCCGTCTATGTTACCTTTCATTCTCTTATTAATCGTTTTATCATTAACCTTTTTATGATCGTCTTATCGTTTTTAATTATTAATTTTTATTACTTTTTTTGTTTCTGAATTATTTACACTTATAGTGGAGAATGTTCTTATTCCCGGTGGATCATCTAAATAAGAGGTCCTCCTAATTGTGAATCATTCTGGTGATATGTTAACGTAAGGCCGTCCTATGTTCTCGTCCTCATATTCACTTACCGGGGGTGAGCCTGACATAGTGGAAAAATTGCATATCTTCTTTTGGAAAGTAAGCTTGTACGAGTGATGTAAACAGCATCTTTTAAACAGAGCGTGTACGAGGAGAAATGGACTTGTGCATGCTCTGGCAAGCATTTAATAGGCATTCCCTCTCAGGAGCGGGTACGGGGTTGTGCATGTGCTTTTTTTTTTTAAGTGGAGAGGGTGGGTCTTTTCAAAAATTCCTCCATCCTCCAGTATAATTAGCTTTGTGGCACTGCAATGTACTTCTCCTGTTATGATTCTTTTTCCCTATTTCGTGTACAGCACTAGTGCTTGCTATTGAAATTTGTTATACAAGTAATTTCTTTCCTTTTCATTGTTAGAGTCTGTTTAGGAAAAGAAAAGTATAAAATAAGCTTTACTTAGGATGACGCCGTTAAGCCGGTAGCCTCCATAGCCAATTCCCACCACGAACTGGGATGCCAAATATAAGGGGTAGTTTGGAGATAATCCAGTCGTTATAGTGAATACAACCATCAGGACTATAGGGATCTGAGCAGCGCGCCTTCGGCCAAACCTAAAGATAAAAATTTAGATCAAACCTGGGAAAATCATGGAATATCAAGGTTTACATAAAGGTGTCTAAATAAACAACACTGAAAAAGTATTTAAAAGGTGCTTTAAAATGTTATTACTAAATGTATTACCATGTATCAATGTGTAAAATAGACCTACGATTCAGCGAAAGGTCCCAGTAAGAGACATCCAGCGAGGATGCCAGCCATCAGCACTGTCTGTGCAACTCCCAACAAATGAGCCTTATCACAAACTAGATCAAACTGTGTAAAAAAGGACATTCTTTACTAGAGCCACATCTGAATTTACATTGTAAAAAAACAACACTGAAACAGGTCAATCACTCACATCAGTGACTATTGTGGACTCATATAGCATGTTGCCGTAAACCCATCCATTCCTGCACCCTGTTGTCTCATTGAGACCATCCTCCCTGATGGCATTGATGTCCCAGTCCACAGGGACGAACATCTGACACCGGCTGAAGCTGCCATCCTCCTCCCTGGGCAGAGTGAGGTTCAGCTGCTCCTCTCTGGTTAGGTTAGGAGCAACTCCGAGGATCCAGTCTGTGTTACAGTGTCGCTCCGGATCAGACTGGGTGAAAATAACACTCGCAAAGTGAAAAGGCAAGATAAGGTTTGGAAAGCAAAGAGCAAACAGGATGGTTTTTTGAAACAATCCAAACTCTCCTATATTACGCAAGATTTCTCCAAAATCAGCCATGGTCCGGCAGTGACTTCCACTTCAGCGATGCTGCAAAGGAATGACCTTTAAACAAAGCCCATTAATGTTTAAACCCAAGCAAGTGTGCTTCAGGAAATATGAGACAGCACTTTCACTTAGGTTACAGAAAGACTTTTATTGTTTTGGGGGGTTTTCTGTCTTTTTTTCTGGTTAAACCAGATATCTATTTCTAGGATCATTAACTGTTTACCATCCTAAAAAAGAAAATTGATTTAACCGCCAATGGCGTAACGACACAACAATAGGCCCGTAAGCAACATTATCTGGGTGGGCCCCATATGAAGTACAACACCTGATAAAGGTTTAGGATGCGGCGGCAGTTCCATAAATAGGCCAAGAAGATACAATTATCTCAGTAGTATGTGATCAGACATCACACATGGAAACAAAATAAAAATAAAATACTCAAATACGTCATTTTTTTGCGATCTTTATTGTGGTTTGAAACATATTATGAGTGTATTTTTTACTAACTGTCTAATGAACTACACACAGTTATTAACATAGTAATTAAAAGTACCACTGTCTGCTTTGCTATTGGTGTCGTGTTTAAACGGCTCACCATCATGTTGAAATCTGGCATGTGTTGCAGTATAAATACAGTCCGGTGCAGTTCTTTATCTTGCGATCATTTCAGCATCAGGTGGGTTCAAGAGGAATTTTTCGTACCATTACATCTGCAAAGAGACATTCTGATCTGCAGTTGCGTAGGGGACCTAACAGTGATGGGGCCCCTAAAAGGTCGTGGGCCCGTAAGCAACTGCTGTCTGTGCTTACCGATTATTTATGCCACTGATGAGACAGCACTTTCACTCAGGTTACAGAAACACTTTTATTGTTTTCGGGTTTTATGTGTTTTTTGTCTGTTTAAAGATATAGAATTCTGGGAACATTCACTGTTTATCATGCTTAAAAAGAAAATTGATTTATATGGTTGTCCGGAGCTGAGCGCTCTGCAATGCAAAAAATCATTATGAACTGATGATTAAGAAATCATAGAAACATAACGTCCAAAACAACAAGTTAAAGTCTGTACATATTGAGCTACACACAAAATGCTTTTCTTAGCAAAAACTCTGATGCAGACACAACAATGCAATGCTTATCTCCAGGCTGTAAAAAATCCGTAGTGTGTTACAAAACAATATGGACTTTACTTCTTGAAGATTAGAGAAGCTGTAAAATATATTATTTCACTTCCGTAAGTGTTAAAGGCAAACCTAATCTCTCTTTATTGAAATGATTTGATTTAGCAGGTTTTTAAATTGCCTGAAGGTTGGCAAGCTACTCTTAAAATGGGTAATGTTTTAAAGGAACCAGCTATCACAGCTCCAGCGATATAAACTGTTTTATTGACAGATAAACATGGTATCCATGTTGCAACAAGTCAATAAGTTACATCAAGCCAGTTTTAGATTCAAAATAGCAGAGAAATATGCAGTAGTTTATAATACATGTGCTGAAATGCACAGTGTGGCTGTACATTTTACTTAACATTAACTGTTTCTGATAATGATTTTAGGAATTACATAGACTATGAGGTATCACTTAAGTCTTTAGAGGAATGATAAATAAATATGTTACAAAGCAAATTAATTTAAATTCTAACCAAAGATTCTTAATTGGATTTAAGGCTGGACTTTTACTGGGCCATTCAAACATATGAGTTCTTTTATATAAACCATCTCATTCTAACTCGGACTTTATGCTCAGGGTGGTTCTCCAGCAGGGAGGTGGACTTCTGCCCCAGTTTCAAATCTTTTACAGCCTGTAAGGGAATTTATTTCAGGTTTACCCTTTATTTAGCTTCACTTATTGGCACATCAGCTGACTAACCTCTTTGTTACCCTGGCAGTGATGGGTTCAGAGACGTGCTACTTTACTGAAAGTGTTCTGCAAGGTGGCAGAAAAAAGGTACACGCTGTTCTCATCTGACAGGAGCTCCTTTTTCCACATGTCTGCAGGGTGACCTACATGGCATTTGGAAAACTAGAAACTGAACTTTAAATTACATTCTTTAAAGAAAGTATTTCTTCTTTCTGTCAGTGTAATAATCACCATCAGTGTGTGAATGTGTGGGTGAATTACTGATTGCAGTGTAAAGAGCTTTGGAGTCCTCTGATTTCAAAAATAAAATTGCCTGATCTGAAAATAAAATCAGATCAAGCAAGGACTTTTCACTGTCCCCAACCTTGTTTCAACAACCTTTAGTAGCCAACAAACAGGATATAAAATGCTGCAGATCGGATGAGGTTGGTTAGTGAAACGATTTCTCAGCTTATTTATTTCACCTGTAGACAAACTGAAGATCGCTCTATAGTAGAGACTATAAAAAATAAAACAGGGGAAAGCTCTCCATTTTGGAGCGTTGGTTGTTGAGTAGAAAGTAATTCATATCTAAATCAAATTATAAACATGCTCTTATGATGGTCATCATTTGCGATATATACTTTTACAAGTACAAAGTATTAACAAAATGTTTTATGATAAGATTACATACAGTTTAACTTTTTTTTCCCAGCTCGCCAGAGGTAAAAAGAAAAAAAAAAGGGCAAACGAAAACAAGTTCTAAATATGCTTTTTAATGTATTTTTAGACTGTTAACTGGACCAGAAAGCATGAACCAGATAGCATGCATACAAACATTGAAAATATATACGTTTTTTCATCCATTAATCATCATAATATTCAATATTTACACTACATGGCATATAGATGAACATTTCAAGGTCATGTTTTACACAGTCCGGTAGGAAGCAGTTTAAAGTTGGTAGTTAATAGCAACTTTTACAAATATCTAAATGCACATCAGGCCTGTAAGTTTAAAGTTTCATTTTTTTTTTCTATGTTTATATCATAGTATTTTTTTTTAAATCATTTTTAAGAATATTTGTGTTTGAGAACTACACAGTTGTGTTTTGTGTTTATTGATGCGTTATCTCTTTCGTTCTTAATCTCCCTTCCTTCTAGGCCATTATTATACATAATAATCTGCTCTTTAAAAAATAACACTAAGAGTTTTCAAATGAAATCATAGTTTATTTATTTGTTTGAACTTTGTTTAACTTGTAACCAGATTAGTCTTTCTATTCACTGTGTTGTAGAAAAAAAGCCATCTTAGAAACAGTTAGAATTATGTACCGATCCATAAGAAAGGTTTTGCTCTTTCAGTTACAGTTTCGTGGATTTTGTGGGGTGGATTTTAGCCGCGAAAATGTCACTTCCAGGCTTCTCATTGGTCAAATCCCTGCAGAATCACAGACAAAAACAACATTTATACGGTAATATTACAAAATAATTTAGACAAAGGTAAAAAATGTATCTATTCAATAAAAATGCAAGGATCTTGTGACTGTTACAAGGAAAGGCAATGATCCATAATAACTTATTTGAAAATATGTATGATTTATTTGGAAATATAATCTATATAAGCATATGGTTGCATAGTCATGCAAAACTTGACCCTAATATTTTGAAAAAGCAAGGTATGATGCTGCCATAGTTCACTTCATGGATGATGTTCTTCTGGTTATATGCATTGCTGTTTGCTAAAAATAACTTTTTTAATGAAAGCCTTTAGTCATGACGACAAATTTTCTTGGAAGGGAAAAAATATTTCAACCTGACTCCTCATCCTTGAACACAGCCAGTACTTTTAGGTAACTCCTGCAGCTCCTCTGGCGATGCTGAGGGCCTCTTGTCTGACCGAATTTTATCTCAAATTTTCATTCATTTTCGATTTTATTCATTTTTTTTATGTTCCTGTTCTCTCACATTTTTGACATATGTCTTCACTGCACTATATTGTACTGTTTGTTAAACACATTATTCTGATTGATCCGTTGCATAATGAGATCTGAAGCTCATCGCTCTGGAAAGGAATATGGCTATGTCAGGTGATTTCTTTCCTTATTTTAATTTACCACATTCTCTGTTATTGCTTGTTGATGTAAACTCTAAGGCTGAAATACTCAAACATAATCAACAGGTGCTTCGACAAGCATTAGTTAAGGGATGCGCATATTTGTTGCATCTTTTTATTTATATAGTTCTCTCTTAAACATTATGCTTATAGTTGAACCGTACAACATATAGTTTGGCGGTTTAAATGATGGAAAGGTACTCTTTTTATGAGTAACAGCATTTCATTTTATGATTTAATTTACCGCTATGCGCTAAATATGGTATGCAGTATCAAAACATGGTTCCTTAGTAGTGGACAGAAGCTTTGAAGTGAAGATCTAAAATCTACTTTGTACAGCAGGATATGAGCTTACCCTTCATTTTTGTCATCACTGGTTGAATCTGGAAGATCCTTTTTGCTGGTCTCAGGAAGCAGGAAGACCAGAACCCCACTGAGCACGGCTAGGCTGCTAAATACTATAATGGGTATGGAGCGGTGGTAGACAGCCAGCATGTTGAGCAATGGAGACAACAGCCCTGCAACTCTAAAGGCTATGGAGCCTAAGGATACAGCAGTTTGCCTAAAAGAAGAACAGTAACACCTTTTTTTTTTGGCACATATATATATTCAGTTATCCTTTATGTTATTTATGACTCACCTCATAGAAGTAGGAAACAGTTCTTGAATGTAAACTAAACATACCGATCCAGCCCAGTTCAAAAAGAATTTCCCGGTGGTAACCAGGGCAGTGATGGCGACAGCGCTGTCTGTAAGGTCAGGTGAAGGGAACACATTTTAAACTGGGAGATCCCTTTATCATAACCCCTCTTGAGTTAAATGTTATCTGTTTTTACCTGGAGTAAAAGCCAGAGTTAAAAGGCAAACAACCCCCCCTATGAGAAGTGTAGACTGTAGGGATTTTTTTCTTCCTAAAAACTCCAAAAACCAGAAGCAGAGAAGATGTGCAGGAACCTCTGTGATCCCAAACAGAAACTGGACCAGGAAGATGTTCAGACCAAACTTGCCCACATTCAGAATAAGGCACATGTAGCCCAGGTTTAATGAAAACCTTAACATCAGAGAACATGAAGATGTTA